CCCCCACCTCCTCGTAATCCTTCTCCAGGGCAGCCATATCCTCCCGGGCCTCCGAGAACTCCCCCTCCTCCATGCCCTCCCCCACGTACCAGTGCACGAACGCCCGCTTGGCGTACATCAGGTCAAACTTGTGGTCCAGGCGGGCCCAGGCCTCGGCGATGGCCGTGGTGTTGCTCAGCATGCACACGGCCCTCTGCACCTTGGCCAGGTCCCCCCCGGGCACCACCGTGGGCGGCTGGTAGTTGATGCCCACCTTGAACCCAGTGGGGCACCAGTCCACAAACTGGATGGTGCGCTTGGTCTTGATGGTGGCGATGGCGGCGTTGACGTCCTTGGGCACCACGTCCCCGCGGTACAGCAGGCAGCACGCCATGTACTTGCCGTGCCGGGGGTCGCACTTCACCATCTGGTTGGCCGGCTCGAAGCAGGCGTTGGTGATCTCGGCCACCGACAGCTGCTCGTGATAAGCCTTCTCGGCGGAGATGACGGGGGCGTAGGTGGCCAGCGGGAAGTGGATGCGGGGGTACGGCACCAGGTTGGTCTGGAACTCCGTCAGGTCGACGTTCAGGGCCCCGTCGAAGCGCAGCGAGGCCGTGATGGAGGACACGACCTGGCTGATGAGGCGGTTGAGGTTGGTGTAGGTGGGTCTCTCGATGTCCAGGTTGCGGCGGCAGATGTCATAGATGGCCTCGTTGTCCACCATGAAGGCGCAGTCGGAGTGCTCCAGGGTGGTGTGGGTGGTGAGGATGGAGTTGTAGGGCTCCACCACGGCCGTGGAGACCTGCGGGGCCGGGTAGATGGAGAACTCCAGCTTGGACTTCTTGCCGTAGTCGACAGAGAGCCGCTCCATGAGCAGGGAGGTGAAGCCGGAGCCGGTGCCGCCCCCGAAGCTGTGGAACACCAGGAAGCCCTGCAGCCCTGTGCACTGGTCAGCCTGGAAGAAGGGAAGAGTAAAACAAGACCAAACCATCAGTAATTCTGAATTGAAGTTGCTACTGAGTTGCTCAGGATGGTAAAGAATCACCCCAGGATCTCAGGCCTCTGGGGCACCTGCAACAGTGCCCCAGCTCTGCTTCCAGCTACAGGCCCTTGGAGAAATGGGTCCCTTCCCACTGGGACTGGGGGATACCCAGGAGAGACAAGGTGTGGGGACATGTTTATTCTGGGCAGCAGACGTTGCTCCTTCCTCTCTGTGGCCTCACAAGGATATTTTGGGGAGGTCCCAGCAGCAGGGCAGGAGCCACCAGGATGGGGCACAGGGTGGCCGTGACCTCACCTATTGGACACTACTCATGATGAATACTCCAGCTCATGGGAGACACCCCAGCGAGGTCCAGAAGGGCTTCAGCCCCTCTTCCTCCACAGGGTGGGTGCAGCAGGAGCCATCATCCCACAGGAGCCCACGGGCAGCCAGCTCAGCCTTTGATGTCCTGGGAGCTCCTGGAGCGGAGCCGGTGGCGCAGCAGGTCCAGCCAGACCTGGCACCAGCCCCAGCGTGGGAACCAGAGCTTCAAAGAGCTTGGGCAGCCACACCAGTCAAACCAGTGCTGTACCAGCACCCAAACCATCTGGGCTGCCCCCCCCTTGCCCTGGGCATGGGGCTTCCCATCCTCCTCCCTTTGGTGAGGCTCAGTACCGGGCAGGGACAGGGGGACAGCCCAGACCTGCCCCCCACACCCAGTGGCAGCAGGTCCATCCTGTGCCAGCTCAACCCTCTGCTCCAAAGTGCGGATGGACTGAGAAGGACCTACCCAGGGACACCTGGGCCTTCCTTTTGTCTCCACACCCCTGCAGGGATGGACCCCCCTGCAGGACCCCACCGTGGGCCGCTCACCAGCTTGCGGATGCGGTCGAGGACCAGGTCGATGATCTCCTTCCCGATGGTGTAGTGCCCGCGGGCGTAGTTGTTGGCCGCATCCTCCTTGCCCGTGATCAGCTGCTCGGGGTGGAAGAGCTGCCGGTACGTCCCCGTGCGCACCTCGTCTGTGGGGAGAGCCCCGGGCCCCGTCAGCACCCAGCGCCCGCTCCCACCGCCCGCCCATCGCCCCCTGTGGCCGCCCCCCGCGCCCCCTCACCGATCACCGTGGGCTCCAGGTCCACGAAGACGGCCCGGGGCACGTGCTTGCCGGCCCCCGTCTCGCTGAAGAAGGTGTTGAAGGAGTCGTCCCCCCCCGCCGATGGTCTTGTCGCTGGGCATCTGCCCGTCGGGCTGGATGCCGTGCTCCAGGCAGTACAGCTCCCAGCAGGCATTGCCGATCTGCACGCCCGCTTGGCCCACGTGGATGGAGATGCACTCGCGCTGCGGGGGCACACGGCACCGGGTCACCCCCTCCGGCCCCTCTCTGTGCCACCCCGGTACCCCCCGGGCTGGCACCGAGCTGGGAAGGGCCCGGCCCCAGGGCTGGATGGGGCCAGATCCTGCCCAGACACACCCATTGCTCTGGGTCTGGGGGTGCACCCAGTGCAGGGGGTGCTCAGCTCCGGGGGTCCCAC